GTACTGCCTGTTGCTCAGTGCTGCGGTGTTCTTGACGTTCGTTTCCCTGTTTTTTTTTTTTTTTTTTTCGGAATAAAATGCTAGAGAAATGACTTCTTCTCTGCCGCCCTACGTGGTCATTCAGCTCATCTTTTAATAATTTTCTTCACACTTCCCACTAACGACAGTACCTACACAGTACGCTGTACCAAAATTACGTACGAAGAGTTTTCAAAGGTCAAGTAGGCAGCCCCTCTCCCTTCTCTCTTTTTGTCAAATACCTCAATAGCTATGTCCCCCCCACCCTTTTTTTGGCAATATTTTTCCCCATTCAAACTTACCAGAAGATAGCAATAGTAAATGCAAAATATTACTGCTACAACAAATTCAAAAAAAAAATTTGTTTTCGAAAGCTTCCCAAATTTGTTGATAGGAATTACTGCAACGTGAGACTCACTTCTTTTTGCAGTGTTTTGGTAGCTTCGCAGACTTCATTCAATTGTATTTGGGCTTTCTGCGCATTGTTTCGTACTTCGTCCTGCTTCTCAAACATAAGTGACTGCATTTTTTCATAACGCCCTTGAAGCGAGCGTTTTTGTTCCAGCTTTTCAGCAAGCTCTTCCACATACCTCAAATAATTTGACTATATTTTTACGGACTGATGAATACCCTGTACAATCGCTACAGGTCTTCATGACCAATTAGAAGCCCCGTCCGATAGATGGCGTTGCACAACATCGAGCACATAAGAGAAAATAAAATCCGACAAGCTGAACGTGCTGCTAGCTGCTTTTGCTAATATCCGGAATGATGTTTTATGCCAGTAAGTAGCATATCAGTGAAAAGCGGCTAAAGCGGACTTAGCAATGGCGCGATGCATAAGGCTGGTATGAGTAAAAATCGAAAAAAAAACATTTAGACACAGAATCCAAAGCTATAGTTATAATAGACCTTGAAAAAAATAATTTTATAACCCACGTATGGCGGGAAAGAGTTTTTGGGAACAGCGCAAGCCAGGAGGCTGGAACTTCATAGAGATGTTTCTTGGCCACGTCTAATTTAGATATTTCAAATTCAGCCTTCACGCATCCCTAGGTTATTTTTGTTAAACTCTCGTTCTCAACAAAGAGAAAACTTCTTTCCAGTTACCGCATAATGTCATCTGCATTTTGACTTAAATTCCACAATTTAAAGCGATAAAAAGTTTTTACACGGCATTCAGGTACCATACCATTGTAACTGGAAATAAAACTTACTGAGGTGAGGAACGCATGCGAAATAAGTGTGCCTTCTGTGCATCACAGAGTTTGTTTATCACCTCGCTGACTTCTTTCAACCAGTCATCTATTTTGCCAACAGTGACCTGCAAAAAAAAGACGATTAAAGAAAAAAAAATACATTCGGAGTTCCAAATTCTCAAGTCCATCATACAGCTACAATAAAAGAATAAAAAAAGCAACCACATAATAACCTTTCGGACTGTCGCCGGTCGATCTTCCATGCCTGATATGTATATATCGGAAGCACTTTCCGTAATTTCATCCATTCTACGCGTTTCCAAAAACTTTTCCAGCTATAAAAAGCAGTTGCTTTGTGACGAGTAAAAAGACCTAAAATTCACTACACATATACTAATGACCAAAATTGTCAATGAATGCGGTTTAGTCAGCTGTAGGCAAAAAACTGAGAGGGGAAAAAAAGTGTTTGGAAAAAATTCACAACTTTTGATCTTTTCTAGCTGTTTTATATTCAACAGAGTGAGTCATGACAAACAAATATTAGGAATTTATGTGTATATTTATGCCTTCTTCAACTCGAAGTACACTGTATTTCAACTCAGCAACCAAGCAAGCTCCGGCGTCAAAATTTTGCCAACGGATTCCCCGGCCAAGTGCCATCCCAGAACCGCGGCAACGACCCTCACACACGTCTGGATCCCACGCACGATCACGTGAAG